ATTATTATAAATAAATAAACAAATAAATAAATAAATCAATATATATATATATATATATATATATATATATATATATATATATATATATATATATATATATATATATATATAGTTTTGTAGGGTCTAATTCTAAATCTGGATCTATTTTTTTAAGGTCGATTATATTGAAAAAGGATCGACATGGTCCCATCTCATGTCCACTTGATTAGTTTCTATTTTGAAATTGAATCGTGTGGTGAAAATAAAAAGACGTTTCACAAGTAACATGTTTTAAAAATTTGTATTTTTTTATAGAAAAAATATTTAAAAATTTTCCATTTTTTTAAATCTAGAATTTTAATTTATTCTAGATTTTATTTAAATTGTGTTTTTTTTAAGGGTATTTTTGAAAGTTAAAGTTTTTTTTTTAATTTTATTTTTTTATTAATGTAGCTGAAATTTAGAAATACAATTAAATAAAAAAAAGGTTAGAAAAATTATTAAAGGCTAATTGTGTAATTTAACCTCCCAAGTCGTTGAAGAGCAGTGCTGTGGTGGGAGGGCAAAAGAGTCAAGAGACTAAAACTTGACGAACGTCCACGTAGGCTGCCGTCTATAGCCTAAAAACATGATGAGATAATGGAATGGAATCCGAACCGTTCCTATATATTGAGAGTTCACGTCTTCAGGCAGAGGCACTCTAAAGCTAATTTGCAGATAGACGACGATGAGGAGATCGGAGTGCCATCCTTTGTTGAGAGGAACAAGGAGCAACAAGTTCACCCATGGCTTCTCTGCGGCGGAGATGGAATCAATAACCGCCATCTGCGACACTGTTCTTCCTTCTCTGCCGTTCGATTCACAAGGTAAAACGAATGCTTCTGATATCGCCTCTGTCGAGGCGTTTTATGCAGCATCCGGTTCGCGATCTCCGATTCCGGATGAGGTGAGTTGATTAACGGATCGAGTTTTTTGTGTTCTTCATTAATTTTAGGTCGATTTTGATTTCGAGTTCTGTTTGTGGAAATTAAAAATTAGGTTGCAGAGATGATAACGAAGATCGGATTAATTGAAATAGTGATATTGATAAGGATAGTGATGTGGCTTCTGGCTACGAGGTTAGGAACATTGTTGCTTTGTGGATCGCTTTGTTTCTCCGAGAAATGGCCTTTTGTCTGCAATTTCTCGGCTATGCCATTGAAGAACAGAGAGGAAGCTTTGAAGAGATGGTCTAAGAATAAGATTTTCACGTTCATCAGAGTTGCTCTTGCTTCCATCAGAATTCTTTCCCTCTACATCTTCTTTTCTCGGGTACTCCTTCCCCCTCACTCCTTTTGTGTACCAAATTTGAAAACGGTTGGATGATGAAAGTCTCATGTCTGCTAATTTAGGGAATGATCATGTGTTTATAATCAATGAATACTCTCTCCACTGGTACAAGGTCTTTTGGAAAAAGTCCAAAGCAAAACCATTAGAGCTTATCCTCAAATTAGACAATATCATATCATTGTTGAGAGTTGTGTTCAACTAATATGGTATCAGAGTCATGCCCTAAACTTAGTCTAGTCGTGTTAGTAGATCGGTAAATCCTCGAATATCGAACAAAGTACTCCAAAAGAAAAGGAGTCGAGCCTCTACTAAGGAGAGGCGTCAAAGGACTCCAAGAAAAAAGGAGTCTGAGGCAGGGAGACGTACTTTGTACTTTGTTTGAGGGGAGGTGTTAGATGATGAAAGTTGAGCCTAATTTAGGAAATGATCATAGGTTTATAATCCATAAATACTCTCTGGATGAGCACGAGGCTTTTTGGGAAGCCCAAAGCAAAGTTACTAAACTTTATGCTCAAAGTGGACAATATCACCATTGTGGAGAGTAAGCGTCTTTTTATCTAATTATTTTTTATTTCTTAAAAATCAAAGATAACTATTAACCAGGTATAATTTAAAAATAATAATGAACAAAACTCAATATTGGAAACATCCATTAAGTATGGATTTAATGCCCAACCTACCAGTGAAGTTATGAACATAATGATACCATAAAGAATAAATGTAAATAAAAAGAGTTTTTAATTTTTATTTTTGTGTTATTAAATTCTTTGAATAAGTCAATAATATATTATATAAAAGATTTATAATTAAAACTTTAGAAATTTAATATAAAAAAAAAAATGTAACGTTTTAAAGTATATCCTTCTTGTACAAAAGATTACGGAAGATTCCGGATGAATGGAAGAGAGCATAAAGACAAATTAAAATTCAAAAGTCAAACATCATACCATCCTTGCCCTGCAGCATATTCTCTGCAAGAGCACGTGCTATGGGCATATTTTGTAATTTTGCAAGAAAAAAAGGGCCAAAAGACAAATAAAAAAAATATGGGCTTCTTGTTTCCATAACTTATTTATTTATTTTTTTGTAATAGAGAAAATATGACGTCATATTTATTTATTTATTTGTCCATAAAAAGAGTTTTGCATTTAATATATTTCCGTTTAATTCATGAAATTCAAGTTTTTGTATTTTTTAGAACACTTGAAAGAAAGGTACATTTCCTTGCTTCCATCACTTTCATCTTCCCTTTTGTATTTATTCATTTATTTATTTATTTATTTTGCGGGGAAATGACATAATCATTGAATTTTTTTTGGTTGATTTGATACAGGTTGATGTAAATGGCGACAACCCAGCGTGGGAAGCCATAAAATACCGGCCGGCCATTGATGAAACTCCATCCAAATCCTCCGATGAGAGGCCTCTCCAGAAGGGAATCATAGAACCCAACAACAAAACAGAATCATCCTTTCAAAACTCCCTTTTAGAGAAAGGTCTCACAGTCATCGGAGAGGAAAATCACACCCTTTCCATCGAATGCGATGTGGTGGTTATTGGATCCGGATGCGGCGGCGGCGTTGCGGCGGCCATTCTCGCAAGTTCTGGCCAGAAAGTGGTGGTTCTCGAGAAAGGTAACTATTTCACTGCTGCTGATTATTCAACATTCGAAGGCCCTTCTCTCGATCAACTGTATGAAGCTGGTGGGGTTTTAACTAGTAATGATGGGAAAATGTTCATTCTGGCTGGTTCTACCGTCGGCGGTGGCTCCGCCGTTAATTGGTCAGCAAGCATCAGAACCCCAAATGCCGTTTTGCAGGAATGGGTTGAAAGCGACAAGATTCCATTCTTTGGAAGCTCTGAATATCAAAACGCCATGGATGCAGTGTGCAATAGAATTGGAGTTTCAGAGGATTGTGAACAAGAAGGGTTTCAGAATCAAGTTCTTCGAAAAGGGTGTGAAAATTTAGGGTTTCAAATTGAAAAAGTACCAAGAAATTCCCCAAACACTCATTACTGTGGATCCTGTGGCTATGGCTGTAGAAAGGGCGAGAAACAAGGGACTGATACAACATGGCTGGTTGATGCTGTGAATCACGGGGCAGTGATCATAACAAATTGCAAAGCTGAGCGATTGATATTGGAAAGAAACAGAGGTGGAAGTATGAGGAAGAACAAATGCTTGGGAGTCATTGCAAAAGTTTGGAGTGATAACATCACCAAGAAACTGAAAATCAGAGCCAAAGCAACCATCTCAGCTTGTGGAGCTCTCTTGACACCACCATTGTTGATATCAAGTGGGCTGAAGAACAAGCACATTGGGAGAAATCTTCATCTCCATCCTGTTTTGATGACTTGGGGATACTTCCCAGATTCAAATTCAGAGTTCAAGGGAAAATCCTATGAAGGTGGAATAATCACATCAGTACACAAAGTTGTCTCTGAAGGAACTAACTCAAATCCTAAAACCATCATTGAAACACCTCTATTAGGACCAGGATCATTCGCTATATTGTTCCCATGGATATCTGGACTTGACAATAAGAAACGAATGCTCAAGTATTCGAGAACTGCCCATTTCATAACAATCGTTCGAGATTCAGGTTCCGGGGTTGTGCGATCGGAGGGAAGGGTGAGGTATAACTTGAGTGAAGAAGACAAGGAAAACCTCAAGACAGGGCTGAGACAGTCATTGAGGATTTTGGTAGCTGCTGGAGCTACTGAAGTTGGCACACATAGGAGTGATGGACAAAGACTTGAATGTAAAGGGATTGGGAAGGAGGAACTGGAAGAGTTTTTGGATATGGTATCTGTAGAAGGAGGGCCGCTAACTATGACACAAAACTGGAATATCTATACCTCAGCTCATCAGATGGGGAGCTGCAAAATGGGAGTTTCTGAAAACGACGGCGCGGTCGACGAAAATGGAGAGAGCTGGGAAGCTGAAGGGCTCTTTGTTTGTGATGCTAGTGTTCTTCCTACTGCTGTTGGTGTTAATCCCATGATTACTATCCAATCCACTGCTTACTGTATCTCAAACAGATTGGCAGCCTTGTTAAGAAAGTAAGTTCCTCAGACATTCATGCCGGTAATCTTATATTCTTTCATGTTTGAGTAAAGCGTTAAATCACATACCTCCACAATAATGTCCACTTTGAGCATAAACTCACATTGCATTACTTTGGGCTTCTCCAAAATGCCTCATTCCAATGGAGAGTATATTCCTCACTTATAAATCCATGATCATTCCCTAAATTAGGCCAACGTGGGACTCCTCCCAACAATCCTCCCCTTGAACGAAGTACACTATAGAGCCTCCCCTTAATCGAGGCTCGACTCCTTCTCTGGAGTTCTCGAACAAAGTACACCCTTTGTTCGACACTTGAGTCACTTTTGACTACACTTTTGAGGCTCTTTGTTCGACATTTGAGGATTCTATTGACATGCCTAAGTTAAGGGCATGACTCTGATACCATGTTAAGAATCATGGACCTCCACAATGGTACGATATTGTCCACTTTAAGCATAAGCTCTCATGGCTTTGCTTTGGGCTTCCCCAAAAGGCGTCTCCATTCATTCCAATGGAGATAAGATTTCTCACTTATAAACCCATGATCATTTCCTAAATTAGCCAATGTGGGACTCCCTCCCAACCATGGGGAACATAAATGATGAGAGAGAAGAAAAGGAAAGATGAGAAAAGACTTTTGTTTTCATTTTCAATCTCCAAGGTACAATGGTTCTGTTTCTAATGATATTGCAATTGTATAGCTAAGTCTTAACTTGGGTATCTTCTGGAGTTATTATGAGCACGTACTCTATACGAACACACACGTAGATTTTAGCATAGTTTCGAGTGCTACTCGAGCAGCTAAATCTTCACTAGAAACAAGCATTTCTTACAATTGAGAAAATAGGATTACATTACTATGTGTCAAGGAGCCGAGCGAGAGTGTTATCGCTTGGGACCATGCGTCGGAAATTACACTTTGTAGCTTAACAAGTGTGAATTGGAATAGTAGGATGAATGAGACTAGCCTCATCCCCTCATTCAGGTCAGCTTTGTTAGGGACTCGACCCGTACTTTCCTGAATCGGTCTTAGCCATCGGAGTCGGCCTCACGGAACGGTAGAGGAACGGTCTTAACCGCCCTGTATTTTCCTATGTTGCTTAGCTGTTCGTTCTCTAATCTGCAAAAGAGTAGAGGATTATACTAGAGAAAATGAAAGATTTCGAGATTTAGCTTCTACCTCGAAATCTTCAAGCTGTTGTTTTGAAGATAGATGATATCATACCTGTAGAAATTCCAATGCCCTCGACGGATAACCTCCAATGAAGCTAACAGGAAGTCGAGCATTTTCGACTCGACGTTTCGAATATGTAGTTTATGCAACCGTAATACCGTCTCGACCCAAGCAACTCTTAGGATCACATTCAGAACCTGCAAGTAATAGCATTTAGCACTTTTCATTGCTCCTTTGGCTTGTATGCATTTGAATGCTAATTTCATTTGTGGTTAGGACTCACAATTGACAGGTAGTAGACGCTTTTGTTCTTCAAGATGAGTTCGTCCCGGAGCCACGGGTTTCGAGATTTCGGATTGAGGATTCCCCAATCCTTTGCAAAGTCCCAGTACAACTGATATATTGTAGCTACAAAGGATGTGACTAATACGATTACGAACCAGAGGCGAGTGTCTTGTCGAGAATACGTAAGCCTAGCCCCAGCTGCCACCATGGCTGATACATACTTACCCATGTTAGCCAAATGGTCCAAATCATTGTCATCAAACCATCTTCTTGCACACTTAACGCAGTATAGAACATAAAAGATCACATGGTCAGTTCAAGTATGTCGAATTATCGATTTTGTTTAAAGAATCGATAGAAGTTCGGAGATCACCTGCATTGCACGCCAATAGTATGGCAAAAATGAAATGAGGTAAGCCAGCTCCCAGTACAACGTCCCGGATTTGCAGACATCGCCTCGACGCATTCCGAAGGAACCCACAAAGAAGTAGCAGGTAGCGGATTCCATGAGCCTCAGCAGAGTGATCTTTGAACATAAACAAGTAAAAAGTGATCTAGAAGTTACTGCACAGTAAGTTTTAACACAATGTGAGTATTACCTGGCTTGTAAGTTGGTCTGCCAAGAAAGAGTCAACGAACAAAACCTGAAAAAAACAGCTCATTTCAAAGTTATAACCAAACCACAACTTACAAGGCAATGCCATGTTGTAGTGTGAAACATACCTTGTAAAAAGGAGAGAAAATTATGTTACGAAACACGCGAAGAAAGTAATAGCGCGTCGGTCGGTAGAATATATCCAACGGGCATACAAGTAGGATGAGAAAAATCTGCAAAAGGAAGCTCAAATCATCACCCGAGTCGTATAAAAACCAAACCCATGTGAGAAATCGATACGTCATGGCTTAAGGTATCAAAGAACTAACAAGTAGAAGAAGCCCGGGAATGGAATCGACTTGGACAGATGAGAAGCGAGTGAGTCCTAGAATTAAGTGAATGACTAAAGCTCCGACCACAGCAGTCATGGTGGTGGTGCATATAAGGAAAGCATCACGATATTTGAGCGCAGTACTCGATTGAAACTCAAAAATGAAATTGTAATTGATCCTCGCATGTTTCCACGTGAACAAATTGCACCCGTACACGAACATGTGCAAGCTTAGCAACGCAAACATACTACAACAACAACAATAATTGAAGTAAAAATTAGTAAAATGGATCAGTAATTGAGGTAAAAATAAGAAGAGGGAATTTACCTGAAAACAGGATAAACAGCATCCATGTAAGAAACTTCATTTGTTCGGGAGAAGACACCGGACAAATGCGCCAAAATTGCGTATACAATAAACAACGACACAAAGCAACCCGTAAACAAACCTGAAACCAACCAACTAAAATCATAACTTTGGTTCCAAATTTCCTTACTTAATCTTAATTTCTCGTACTTTAAATTTTTTTTACAATTCAACCTCTATCGATGAGCTATATACTCATTAGAGATATCTACGAGACGGGGTTAGGGACAGAAAATACAATCTCTATTCCCGACTCTGTTTAGCCTCCTCATTGTTCGTTTAAACGGGAATTCTCCGTCTCGTTCAGGGCAGATTCTCACACAAGCAAATGGACATGAACGTATAGTTTTTCAAGTGCTTATAATCAGGTCGTAGAGATTAATAATAGAAAAATTACCAACAAAGAAGGTGGTCATGTGGGAATCTTTAGGCTGCTGAGGCCTCAAATATTTCATTGCCTTTTTCCTGTCATTGTTGGCGAAGTGCTTCGTGAATATGGATTCCACTTCGTCCATTAGTCTTACCACCTTCATTACACAAACCATTTTTCATATTAATATATACATTTCTTTAATATGTTTATATAATAATGTCCTGTCATGCATTCCAGACAGGAAATCATTGTCGTATGTAAATATATATTTGTTTTTTAAATTTGAATTTTCAATCAATTAATTAAATTAATTAAGTGTTAGTCAAATAATAATATTCTTTACACCAAATCTAATCGTTAAAACTCAACTATAAATTATTTATTTAAAATTTGCAATTCAATTTTAATATATATTTTTTAAATTGTTAAAAACTATTTTTAAAATAAAATAAATGTAGGTAGATATATATTTTTTAAAATTAATAATAAATTTAGGTTGTTTGAATTTTGTTGGGAAATAAAATTAATTAATTAATTAATGGGTTTCTCGTAAATTAATAATAACTTTGTTACCTTATCGGAGCTGATAAACGGCGACCTTTTCACCTGTTGAAGGTAGGTAGTCGACGCCTTCTGGTTAGCTACCTATTCCCTCATGTTAATAAAATTTAGTAACCAATTAAAAAATTAACGTAGGATGGTATGGAATAATTAATGTTTTGTCACCTTGTCGAATTTCTTCAAAATCTTTACGAACGCTTTCATATTCAATGAACTGCCACGGATAAATTTGTAATTTTGTTTTAAAAATATATCTAAATTTTAAATTAATTAATTAATATTTTGTTTTGGATTATTTAAGTATTAAAAAAAAAAAAAAAAAGTGTACCTGAAGGTTTTGAGGAGGCCGAGGCCTTTGTAGAGCTCAACAAAGGCGCCTCGAAGCATCTTCTCCGACCACTGGATCTTCTTCCGGCTGATCGAGTCGCCGGAGGCATCCTTGTTCGGATTGTTGATGAGATCCTCCCATAACATCCCCATGACGGCGGAGATGGTCCTCGACGGAGTGGTGGCTGGAATGTCGACTCGCAGCGCCATCTTCGGCTTATTTCCTTTCTTCGTCTTCCCTCTCACCGCGGCGTTAATGAACGTGACCCCGTGCCTCTCCAATGCGGCGATTGCTTCATCCGTCTCCGATACTTCCGCTGACGCTTCGTTTGATTCCGAGTTCTCTATATTCAGCATTAATCTCAATATTTATTATTAGTCGGTCAAACCCCATATTTTTATTTAGTCTTTAAACTTTTAAAAATTTATAAAATCATTTCTCAAACTCGAACAATTTCTTAGGTTAGAGGAAATGAATTAAAAATCAAACCACCCGAACCCAGAAAAGAAGAGAGATCGGTTATTAGAATCTACACTTGTTCTTCGTTTTATAGAAAGTTACTTTTGAAATTTTGAGAACCGAACAGAAACTTAATTAAGGTCAAATGGGTAATTTGACACGATTATAACTATTTTATCCCGTTCCTAATTTGGTAAAAATTAGAGATGCTTGTGAGATTCGATATGAACTAAAATTAAAATAAAACCAAATCTAATGTAATCCATAGACATAGAGACAAAAACAAGATAATTTAAGGTAACAAAAATTGTCATAAAAATTGGTGTAATATTCAGCCATGCAATCATAAAGCGCCACGTGTCAACCAGGGAAATAATGGGAGGAAAATGGGGAAGAATCTGAGGTTACCAGAAAAATTGGAGTGGCGAGGAGAAAAGGAAGACGACCGGGAAAAGCCGCCGGCCGGCGAGGTTTTGCGGCGGCGATGTTCAAGAATCCGTTTGAATTCAAGCAAAATTCCAAGCTGCTCTCTAAGACTGTCCCCTCTCTCCACAAACTCACTCTCTCTACTCCCGTAAAACTCGTTCACTTTGTCCAATTCTTCGTCCAACGTCTCGAAAAACATCTTCACCTATAAAAAAATAATAAATCGAAGCGTAACTCAATAAATAAGACATTCATTACTGTACCTCGTCTTCTTCGGAGAAGAACTGGGAAAGCTCGGTTTCGCGATCTTCAATACCGTCGTTGCCATCTTCGTTCTTTTTGACCTGAAATTATGGAAAAGGAAAGCTTGGTGATTGAGTAAGCAAGAAGAAGAGTGTTCATTTGATTTTCCTTAGCCAAACCCATTTCCTCCAACACTGCCAAATTGCATGCCATCCCTATTCTTCTTGCTCCCTAACGTCATTTTTTTAACATTTTTTCTAACAAAACTGCCTTTTTCCCCTTATTTCTTGCACTAATCTTGCCTGGTTTTTGGTTCATTCCAGAATTCTCTATTTATTTTTGGAGGTGAGATTGAAAAACGGTGTAAAATTCTTTATTTATTTCAACTATGATTCAAAATCTTTGCAAGAATTGAAAAGCTACGCAAAATTTTCTATTAAATCGTGCAAAATTTTCTATTTATTTTTGCAGGGATTGAAAAACTGTGCAGAATTCTCTATTTATTTTTGCAAAATTGAAAAACAGTGTAAAATTTTCTATTTATTTTTACAGGAATGAAAAAACGGTATAAAATTCTCTATTTATTTTTGGGGATTCAAAAACTGTGCTGAATTTTCTATTTAATTTTGCAAAATTGAAATAAAAAACTGTGGAGAACTCCCTATTTAATTTTGCAAAATTAAAAAATGGGCAAAATTCTCTATTTATTTTATTTGATTTGTTTGAGGAATTGAAAAATGGCTCAAAATTCTCTATTTATTTTTGCATGAATTGAAAATCGGTGCTCGGATTCAACCGAGAAAACCCCATCTCTCATTTCACACTAGATTCTGTGTCGGCGAACAAGTGGCATCAAAACGACACACGGTAGAGGCCATAAACGACATTGATGGGGGTGTACCTGAGAGAGGTGGTCAGCGTCAAGAGGGCGGCGGCGGCGGAGGAGGCGGAGGGGGAAGTGGGCGGCGAGAGATGAAAAAAAGGAGGCGGCGGAGGAAGGAGGAGGAGGAATAGGGGTTCTAGAGAGCTTGACTCTCTTGACCAGCTTCTTGAGGTGCCAGTAATTGACGAACGCATCTTTCCATTCAGGAATCAGTTGAGCTTCCAATTCCTTCGAGAATTTCACCATTTTTCTTCAAAGCTCTCTCTCTCTCTCTCTCTCGTTTAGAGAGATTCGGTGGAAATGGAGAGCCTTCCCTTATATACTGCGTTTTAGAGAGTCCCAACCAATGATTCATCCAAATAACGACTCACCATCGATATCAACACATCTGAAATCGCCAAATGTTCGGGAGTTCCGCTATTCAATCCTTTTCCATCTTCCCTTTGTTTCTCGAGCCTATAGTGAATTACAGACAGAGTTCAAAAACTTCTAGATACATATCACACATCTCAGCTAGACTATCTCAAAAACAGCGTTTTTCAGTTCAATCTTACTCTATTTTTTAAATTATTATAAAAAAATTTAAAAAAATTGAATTATTAATTATTATATAATGTGAATTCAATATTGCTTTTGAGGAAAGGGAAGAATTTAAATGTTGAATTAAAGGCAAGTTAAAACCACATGTGAATGTGATTTTTAAGAGTCAAAATTAATTGCTTTACTTTTCAATTTTTAAAATTTTATCAAAATAACTTACCATTTAAATTACATAAAATTATAAATATTTAATTTATTAAAATAGATGTTAAATATCAATATAAAAATATTCTGGTTTCCCGACGATTCACACTACAAATAATGAGCTCGTATCTCCTTAATCTCGAGCTAGTTCTTGAATTTAAGATTTATTGGGAAGTATAAATATTAAAATTAAATATTAAAATTAAAAAAGATTTGAAGGGTGTTACTGTGGGCGGTGTGCTGTTGAGCCAACTTTTTGTACGTGAGTGTGCATGACGTTGGAACCATGCTCTCTTTTTGTGTCCACCCACTAACCCTCCAAACACACCTTTCTCTATTTTTTTTTTATTTATTTAAAAATTAATTTCATAGATACAGTAAATCCGGGATCTCATAATAAACATCGTACCACCATTTTGATCCGTTATGTATCATCGTCAGCCTTATGGTTTTAAAATTTGTCTATTAGGGAGAGGTTTCCATACCCTTGTAAGGAATGTTTTGTTTCCCTCTCCAACCAATATAAGATCTCACAATCCACCCTCGTGAATTCAGCATCTTCACTAGCATACTGCCCAGTGTTCACCTCTGATATCATTTCTAACAATCTAAGCCCACCGCTAGCATATATTGTATGTTTTGATCCATTACGTATCATCGTCAGCCTTATGGTTTTAAAACGCGTTTACTAGGGAGAGGTTTCCACACCCTTATAAGGAATGTCTTATTCCCCTCTCTAACCAATATTAGATCTCACAATCCACCTTTCTTGAGAATCCAGCGTCCTCGCTAGCACACCGCCCAGTGTTCAGCTCTGATACCATTTGTAACAATCCAAACTCACCACTAACAGATATTGTCTGTTTTAACCCGTTACATATTATCTAAGTATAAATATCATATTCTCGTAAAGATATAGAGAATCAAGTTCGTCGTTTTAGTAAAAAAAATGGTTAATGGAGCGAAAGATATTGAAATTAGAGTGCATCTAAATGTGTATAATTAAAAAAGGAAATAGGGGGTACCAAGTTGGAGTAAAGTAACCCTTAAAAGGAAGGGGTGCCCTAAAGAATAATGTATTGGGATAAGAGGATTGAGAGGAAAAAAACAAAGGTGGGTATTGAGTGTAGGGTTGAAGTGGATGAGAATCTTGAAGTAGAAATGCATGCAATTGGAGGAATCATCTTTGTTGGGATCAGAATCATGAATCACGAACACTAACAACTACGAATTGTACTCTTTCAAATTGGGTCTTGAAAGTGACTCGAACATTTGTCACCAACACACCAAAAACATATATGCCTTCCAACTATTTGCTGCCTCGTATTTCTCAAGCCATGAAGTATCCACGTAACCGTTCAAGTCCACTGTTAGTAGATACTGTCTTTTCGGGGCTTTCCTCGTCCCTTATAACCCTTATAAAGAATGGTTCGTTCCGATGTGAGATCTCACAATCTAGTTACGTTTCAGTTACATTCTCGAAAATTGTACGTTTTGTGAATAAGATAGCATTGAACAAACATAATTTTGATCGAAAAGTTGAGAAAGAAATGGGATATAGAGTAAAAAGGGTTCGAGATCGAGAAAGTTTGACCTAAAATTCTTAATGTTTTTAAAGGAATAAAGAAAGAGTTGGAGGGGAAGGCTTGTTTCTTTGTCATATTTCCATTTGAAAATGAACTTTTAGTGTAACCAATGAAAAATATAATGCATCCTCCACTACTACTACTGCTACTCAATTAAGCTTTGTTTGGTTTAACTTTAATTTTGAGAATTGGATTAATTTAGGGATTTGGTCTAACAAATTGGTGTATTCCACTATCTACATTTTTTCTTTTCTTATCTACAAAAAGCTGCTATTGCATTGGTAAGTGGGTTTCAAATTTCTCGTCTAAATAAAAAATTTATGGATTGAATTGGTTCGTGAGTTCTCTTGAATTGGGAACATAATTGGGTTCATAGTGTCACGGTTATGCTCGTCCAAGGCGTGTTGTCCATGACCGTATGCCCATGACAAGCTCAACCCTTTATGTCTTTTCATATTCTAGTGTTTTAGACTTGTATTTCTAGGAAGTGTGACGTTTCAGAAATATTATGTATAGGCCTGTCAGACATGAAATGCCTCAGAATGTACTATAGGGGAATACGATTAGTTGTCAATTTTTCCCTACCCAAGGTTATATATTGTGAGCCGTTATTATTTCTCTCTTACTTGCTTATATAATGTCTCTTTTCGAAAATCCCTCGTTTTCTAAAACTTTCTCTTAAAATTGAAGCCAGAGGCTCGAGCGTATGTCGCTTGGTCGTAGGTGACGCAAGAACAAATTGGCTTAGCTCACTTGTCGTTGGAAAGTGAGTGCCGCACAATCGCAAGTCTGCTGCCATCAAAAGTGCGATTATGACACATAGCTCAATGGTAGAGCATTTGACTCTAGATCAAGAGGTCACCGGTTGGGCTCTAATAGTTTTTTTGTGAGATCCCACAAGTTGCTAGCGAAGACACTAGGTCCATTCGAACTTGTTGGCCGCTAGCCCCATTCGATTTCTTTTTGTGAGATCCCACATTGGTTTGAGGGGGAACCTTTTCCTATCAATCTTTTGAAAACGCTATGTGCTAGCAATTTTTTCCTATCAATCTCTTGAAACGCGGTGTGCTAGCAAAGATGCTGGGCCTCATTCAAATTTGTGCCAATAAAGACATTGAATTTGCGCCGGTGAAGACGCTGGCTCCCAATCGAATTTGTTGACCCTATCAATTGGGCCCGCTTTGAATTTATTGACCTAGTGTGCCAGCAAAGACGCTAGCCCCATTTGTAAGATGCTAGCCCCCATTTGGATTTGTTGGCTCTATCAAACGCTGGGCCCCATTAGAATTTGTTGGCCCTATCTCTAACAATCTTTTGAAACCAAAACTACACCGTACCAATAAAGACATTGGCCCCGTTCGAATTTATTAATTATTTTTTAAAAAACACATTTTGGCTCACGATGCACATATGTATACATTACAATTTTATTTAATTTCACCAATATTTTTCGATTATTTATTCTCCAATCACTTTTAAAAATAAAATTTTAAGGCTTCAAAAGATAAGTTTTTAAAATATTTATTGAAATTAAATAGTAATATTAATACAATATTTAAAAATAAATAAATATTTTATCTACTAACATTTTTATATTTACGACCGGAACAAGACCCCTTTTAACTTAAGATGCACATATGTACCGTTAATATTTTTCAATTATTTATTCTCCGAACAATTTTTAAAAATAAAATTTGAAGTCCGTACAATGTAAATTTTAAAATATATATTTATATTAAGTTTAATACGTTTAAAAATAAATAATTGAGTGAAAAAAAAAAAATAATTTATTAATATGTGTTAGAGAGAGAATAATAAATAGTATTTGACTTAAATAAACAGTCAAAATGGAGAGGGTAAGGCATTTATTTAAAAAAAATGAATTAATTAGGTAAGTTTCCCTTTCAGAGTCATCTCCATCTACTTTACAGCAAGACCACAAGACCATAATCTTAGGTTAATTTATGTCTGTTTCAGATTCCCAATTATATATAATATTTCTTTACAATTAAAGCTGGAGAAGTATGTTTGGTTTAATTCATTTAAATTACTAAATTAATTAATAATATCCTTTTCCCATGTCAAAGACAGCGACTTTACTTGTTTTATTATCTACTTTTTAAAATTCAAATAATGTTTTTTTATTGTTTTTTTTTTATTTATTTGAGATTTCACGTTCTAAAAAAATAAATATAATTATTTTTATTTTAGAAATATTATTGTATTTATTATTGTGTTAATTGTTTTTATAATTTTATGTCAAATAAATCTTTTAACTTTACTGTTTGATTTGATTAAGAAAATGTTTCTGACCAACAAATTTTGGGTTGGTTAAGTTAGTGATTAGAGTAAATCCAACAGAGCCAGTAACCCAACCGTCTGTTCTCAGGTTGTATGATTATCTATAATACATGTTACATTAATAACTAAAATTTTATAAAACTCAAATATTTATTTTTTTTAAAAAAGCAATCAAATCCAATTTCTTTTCGTTCCATGATCATTTAGTTTTTAGCTTTTTTATTTTTAAAAATTAAACTTTGACACAATATCTATCCCTCAAAAGTGTGAATAGATCTAAAAATATTATTATTCAATGGAAAGTTAACAATAAAAAAATAGAAGGGATGGAAGGTTCAATGTTGATTGATATTCAGTTTAATACCTACAAATAAGTAAAATATAAACTAACTAAATCTCGAGAATAAAATAAAATATAGTACAAATCAAATCATGGAAAGAAAAATATATATTCTATAATTAATATATTCTCGTCGAATTGATTACGAATATCTTATCGATAACATGCACTAAATTTTGACTAATTTGGGAAGGTTTTTATTTATTTATTATTATTTACGTTAATTTTTATAAATATTTTTGAAATCCAAAATGAAAAAAGTAAAAGAATTTAATTTGATTAAAAATTAAAATATTTCCATTATAAAAAAAATGGGTAGAAAACAACCGAATTTGACTTGTTTTTAAAGAAGCTTTCTAGGCATTCAACCCAAAAAGAGAAACCAATGAAAATTAATAATTAATTTAGTACCCATTTTGATATGTTTTGATAGGAAGACTTGAAAGAACAATATAGGCATAGGGATATGTTGTTGTTGATGAATATGAGACACACAACAAATAGAAGGCTTTTGGAATCCCAAAGGGCCAAACAAACCTGATTAGCTCAACAAAGATTATGCTTTGCTATTATTGAGCCATTTGTACTAACCCCATGTTCTTCCCTTTCAATTTGCTACTCATTCCCATGTTCTTCCCTTTCAATTTGCTACTCATTTCCAATGCCTCGATCTTTTCTTGAGTGACCCTTGTATTTATTAATCACTCCCCCCATCAACTTATTATTTCATTCATTTTCATGGTTGGATCGGTATTCAAGATTCTTTTTGTGACGGATGTCCACTGCTACCGATGATGTGTGAGATTCCACATCGATTGAAGAGGGGTTTGAAATATTCTTTACAAGGGTGTGGAAATCTCTTTCTAGTAGACGCGTTTTAAAACCCTAATGGGCTTAGACTGTTACAAAATGTATCAGAGTTATTCACCGGTCTAGGAGGTGGATTGTGAGATTTCACATCGATGGGAACGAAATATTACTTATATGGAAACCTTTTGTTAGTAGATACATTTTAAAATCGTGAGACTAACGATGATACGTAACAAGTCAAAGCGAACAATATCTACTAGCGGTGAGTTTTGGCTGTTATAGGATAGGAAAGCTTTTTTCGTCCCCATTTTCGCCTTCTATCTCATTTGTCATTCTAGTAGAATTTGCAAAAAATCAAGTTTTGGGCCATAATTTTTTATATATATATATATTTTTTTAAATGTATTTCTTTCCAATAATTTTTAATTAAACATCATAAACCTAATTTTTAAAATATAAAATCTCAATATTATAATATAATTTTTTCGATTAAAAATATAATATATATTTATTTATTGGAAAATAATATAAAAAATAAAAACTATATATTAATTTATATATAGTTATGAATGAGTAGCCAATGGTTTGGGATGTGGTGGTAATGATACCAAATAGTTCATTCCATTTCATTTATTCCAACTTTCGTGGGTGCTACTTATTTATATAATTATTTGAGTTTTTCAATTTCATAATTTTTATTTTACATAATAATTATGTAATCATGATGTAATCATAATATTTGTTTTTTTTTAATTTTATTTTATATAATCATTAATTGTTTCAAACGTGGGCTTGGGGGAGCTATGTGTTCTTCTGATCTATATTGGCCCAACTATTCTATGGGCCTTCATACACATACAGTTTATTGAATCACTCTTGCAAATGCATGAGTTTGTTCCAAGTCCACGTCAGCAATCTAACCGACACGACAAGTTAAGCTGGTCGAGCTAGGTCGAAGTTATGTTGGGAGGTCTGTACCTAACATGTTACGATTTAGTTTACATTAAACTCAGTTGACTTTTTGGCTGTGCGAATCTCTAATTGTACCTTCGTGAAGAATTCTGAGTTAGTATTAAGTTCAATTGACTTTTTGGCACTGTGAATCTTCCTTGAGAATTTTGTGTTTGACGAGTGATTCACGTTCTTCCTTTAGGCCTATGTGGGCCGTTGATTAGAGATGTCCACAGGGGGATGGAAAAGTCTTTTCTATCTCTGTCATCGCCTCCTATTTCATTCTTTCTCTTTCCACACACACGTTTGATGGAGCCGGGATTAGAGTGGGGATGAGACTAGGGTTAGGGGTGTGGACAAGGATGTCGAATGCCACTCGTTTCAGTAATGAGGAGGAATTTCTCCTTGCACATTCCCTCATTTTCCACCCGGTTCTGAGGGAATTAAATGGGACATTTGTGCCATTAATCCATGTAACAGCCTAAGTTCATGGCTAAGTGATACTGTCTTCTTTGGATTTTTCCTTCCAGACTTTCCCTACCTTTGTAAAGAATGTTTTGTTCCCCTCTCCAACCAATGTGCAATCTCACAATCCACCCTCTTCGAGACATAGCGTCTCGTTGGGACTCGTTTCCCTCTCCAATCGGATCTCACAATTCACCCTTTGGGACCCAACTTCCTCATTAGAACTCATTCCCCTCTCCAATCCATGTGGGATCTCACCATTCACCACTTTCGGTGCCCAATATTCTCGCTAGCACTCGTTCCTCCCTATAATCGATGTGGGATCTCACAATTCCACTCAAACACGAAAATTGATATCATGTCCCGATCTATTATGGTGGCACATTTATAGGTTGGTTGACCATGGCTAGGGTTCAAGAATGAAAATGCTTCCATTTAAAACCTCCATTTCAATTCTGCCCCTTGTCATCCATGCACATAGCCTTCACATTTCCAATAAATATGTACTTACAGCTCAGCTCATAATTATAATCGTATCATATATTTATATATATATATATATCCTCATTGATTTTCAACAAACACCAAAAAGAAATGAAAAAAAAAAAAAAAAAAAACCCAACAGAGATAAGATCGATCTAACAAGAACTAATCAACCACTGTCCTCTGTTTTTTCCGCCGCCGGCCGTGGGAAAATCATAGAGTTTTCAGTGAGACTGTTACCTTTAATGGTCAGTGACCCCGAAGACTCGGTCAAATATGACGTGGAGAAGAAGGGAATATAGTGCTGACCAATAGGATTTCGCCATGTGGCGGACGTTTTGGTTTGGTTATTTGGTAAGCCACCGAGCCAGTTGGGTCGGGTTGACGATGCCGGATATCTGGGCCTTATCCGTCTTCAAAATGGTTGCCACGTCGGCGTAGCTCTGAATCTGATGCTCTTTTTTTATGATCTCCGGCGGCGCGGCTTCCGTCTTCGGCTTCTTGTACTGAGCAACGGCGTTCGGGAATGGGCTTGCTTCGGCTCGATCCGGGTCGAACTTCCTGCCCAAGATGGTTCCTTTGGTCAGAAACTCATAAGCCATGTACCCGGCCAGAAGCCGGTTCGACGTAATTGGCTGCTCACCGGCTTTAAGAGCCGACGGCTCCTTCCGCTTTCTTGACGGCCCAGCTGATAACAGCCCACGGCTGTGGCAATGGAAACTCATTTGCCTTTTTTTTCTCGGCCCTTTGTTAAATGCCAGTAACCTAGGCCCCGGTGGCAAAACCGTAGGAAGTTGATATTCCCAGGGGCAAAATCGTCTAACAAGATATTGTGAACTTTTTTTGTTTTTCCTGAAAAAATTGACGAAAGGTTAAAAAGTAAAAAAAAGAACGAGGGATAATGGGCACGGTAAAAGTAAAAAAGAGGTTTTAAAATGGGGATAACGTAAGTTAAGGCGAGAAAGGGAAAAGGATTGAAAGCGACTACAATTTTTTAAAAGGAAAAGAAAAAAAAAAAATATATATATATATATATATAATTTTCTTTCTTTTCCTTTTTTTAATAATTGGGAATAAAAACTTAACAAAAGCTGGGGAAAACGGGGTCAATGTTTAGGTGAAATCGGATCCAGATGGTGGCGGATGGAACCTGAGGGCACTGGTTGGATCGGCGTACGGACGGCAGTTTACCAGTGGCGCCACCCGGCGAACGACGGAGATGACGGCTGATTAAGAAAAATTCCGTTCAGATTACAAAAAAGAATTTGAAGGAGAGAGAAGGAAAGAGAGAAAAGAGAGAGTAGAGAGAGTGGGCAAGGGAGAGAGAATACAAGCCGAGGCCCCTGCTTTTATCTGGCACACCTTTCCAATTATACCCCTCTTCTAACCGTGAAATACCGGAAATACCCTTGGAAAATGCCCTTTATATTTATTCTTTCTTCTCCGCGGGTCGGGGCATGGTCCGGCTCCACTTTTATTTATATATATATATATATATATATGTTTTTTTAATATTATTTTAAATCATTTTGAAAAACTTAAATTTTAAATATTATAACATACTATTAATAACTTACCAAAAAAAATATATTTATTTATTTAATTACTATTTATATTTACATATACAAGATTTAAACGAATATAATTATCGACTTTTCATATATATTCTCGTTATATACTAATAATAAAAACATTGGTAATTATTTAATATATAAAATGAAAATCTTGAAAAAATGAACACAATAATTACAACAAATAGAGAATTAAAAAAATGAAATACCATTTAATCCAAAAAAAAAAAATGATAGAATAGACAAGAAAATAAATTTGTGTACGAACAAAGAATAGAAACCACTGACTTTAGATTGTAAATGTCACAATGAATCTCAATTTACCATTTAATCCAAAAGATTCCAAAGTTTTACTATATTGCCCATCCATAAGAATAAAGCTAATATTCATTAAAAAGAGGGGCGGAAATGGAAAAAGAGAATATTACGACTAAAGTATAAATTCTATTTTTTTTTTATGATTATTTCAAATGTCGATGAATTTAAAAAATAAACCTAAAATTTAAATAAAATAATTGTAATTTAATTTGAATATTCAAATCTTTTGTGATTTCATTAATTAACATTAATTTAGTTTAATTTAATGTTGTCTTAATAATCCAACCATAATGTTATAGAATTGAAAAGGGACAATGGATTTAATGCAATTAGATTATTTAAAAATAAAAAGAAAATGAATTAAAATTGTACTAAACCTACCTGCTATATATAGACAGGTTGTTTTAATTGGATTTAATTTACTTAATAATTAACGCTTGCCTTAATTGCTGGGCGTAAAGACCATAATACCCTAAACCACTCCTCGCTCATTTCAAACGATCCAGCCTACTCCCCACTCTTGTGCTTCTCCGACCAAGACATTGAGTTCCCAGAAACCGGCAGCCGGCGGCTTCCAACTGATTCTACCGGTGAATACAAACGGAATACTTCATTGGAATTGAATTCATGATATCGACAAGTTGGTTCTCGAGAAAGCTAGTGTAACGACTCGAACCCATCGCTAGCTGATATTGTCCTCTTTGAACTTTCCATTTCGGCCTCCCCTCAAGACTTTAAAACGCGTCTACTAGGGTAAGGTTTCCACACGCTTATAAATGGTGAATTGTTCTCCTCCCCAACCAATGGGGACATCACAGCAAGAGATTCTAGAGTTTGGAATTTAAGTTTCTCGGAAAATAATTCTCTCAATCTCGAGTTATTGTGTGAAACCCTGTCCTCCTCTCGATCCACATGACTTGTGCCTTATGGGAAGTTGTCGTGTTCAAAGTAGATCTATTACGTACCACTGTCAGCCTCACGATTTTAATAATCATCTACTAACGAGGGGTTTTCACACCCTTACCAGAAATGATTAGTTTCCCTCTCTAACAAATTTGAGATTTCAGAACTCACCGTCTTTAGGGTCTAATGTTCTCGCTAGCACAACGCTCGGTGTCTAGCTTTGATTCCATTTGTAACCGCCCAAATGTAAGCCTACATTAGATATGGTTCGTTTTAGTTCATAGGAAGTTTTCACACTTCAAAATCCCACTTTCCACATTGTATCTAAAGGTTTCGAATCAAATTTGTAATTAATAATAACTAAAAAAATTAATTAAGTATTCAAATGTAATAATGAATATTTTTTAAATTATTTTTATTACTTTGTTAATAAATTATTATAATTATATAAAATGTATAAATATATCTTATTAATATAATCTACTCAATAATATAAATTTAATAGTGGGTCTAAAAAGAGTTTTCATTCACTAGTTTTGTTAACGCTTCCATAAAAGTTACGATATATCGGTTTCTTATTAGCTATTTTTACACGTGTCATAATTACAGAGTGCCACGCAGGATAAGCATGAAAAATATTTCTCTAACTTTGGCGTTCACTAATCAAGGTATCAAGATTTGCCACGTGGGATTCGAAAAGTGGTAGACCTGTGCTCAAAAGCCTATAATATGTCACATAATAATACAGATGATCAAAATCAATCCTGGGCCGTTGGATTCCCCTTTGTTCAACTAGGAAGCTTTTTGGAGCTTTTTGCCTTTTACATTTAAAAAATTAAGAAAATTTTAATTTTTTGATTTTGTTTTTTTGTTTTAATGACATGAAAGGTGAAAAAAAATGTTTTCGTTGCTACAAATTTGGTAATGCACATGTTTTTTCGACTGTCTTTTTTTATAATAAACTCAAACCAAATATAGACTCGGGTTAAAAGTTACCTTTATTTAATTATAATTAATTAAAAAAATATTTTATATAAATCCTCAACTTTAAATAATAAAAGAATAAAAGAATAAAAACAATTTTTTTTAATAGATTGAAGGAGAGAAAAAGAAAAGGAAATTAAAAATATATATAAATAGGTAATTTTGGTAATTTTGGATTATTTATGAATAAATTAAAGTTTTATTGCAACATGAATGAAATGGTGGATAGTGGGCCCAGTTCTGGAAATTGGCCCAGTTCTATGTTGGGCTAAAAGGCAATGTAGGCCCAAGAACATTTGCAGATGCTTCCTTTCCCTTTCTTTCTTTTAACACTAAGAGAACACAATACCCGTACCGTTTTTAGCCTTTTTTAGCTTTGGGTAAGTTATCCCGATCAAGATTTTTCTACTCTAGAGGGGAACTCTTCCCTTTTTGAGTGATTGTGAGTCAAGATGACTTCAAACCTCCGATACCGTGGCACGTGAATTATAGCCCTCACTCGATCTAGAACCGTTCCTCTATGTTAGATGATGAAAGTCCCACTTCGGCTAATTTAAAAAATGATCATGGGTTTATAAACAGAGAATACTCTCTCCATTGAGGTCTTTTGGAGAAACCCAAATAAAATCATGAGAGTTTAGGCTCGAAGTGGACAATATCATACCATTGTGAAGAGTCGTGTTGCTTTTTAGCTTTTAGAGATGACTGCGTATAAAAAATGAGTCGTATTTTTTTTTTTTTTTAGAAATCTCGAAATTGTTTTAAATTAGTGAAAAATTAATTGAGATTTTTGCCTTTTTGGGATAAAAATTGAAATTTTATGCTTATAAAAATATATTTAAATTTATTCATATAAATACTTTAGGATAAAAGATGCTTTTTATTTTCTTTTTGGGTAAGAAAGGATTGAATTTTAGGATGGTCATGGCGGGAAGATCGAGGAACAGCAAATCCAGATTGCCATTGATCCATTACGATCGCCGTTGAAGACAAAAGAACAGAGCTCAAAATAAAGAAAATGGCGGCACAAACATTCAAAATGATCAAGAATACATATACGCAAACATTTCAAATCTCAATCCCACTCGTTCTACTCCGGCGGAGCTCACCAGTCCGAGAGTCGATACCAAGCGAATTCAAAGTTCGGGAGGAAGAATCACAATCATTTGGCTGAAATCCGAAGCAAACGAGCATTGTGAATTCAATTCAATTATTACAGATGCAGGAGATAAATTGTGTAAGGCGCTTTTCCTTTTAGTAGGCATGTTTTAGACTGATGTCCTTGCTCTTCATGCGGCTGCAAATTCATTTAATCATTTCAATGGAAAACAGCTTGTGCTCCACTTTGGTAAGTAAGATAATAGGTTCTTTTACTTTCGAATCATTCTCATTCATTCTTTCACCAGTCACTGCCCTTGATTTTACTCATATCCGATGATTCGTCTTTATTCGCACTTTTCAGCAACAGTGAGCTAAAGGAATTTTATGATTTCGTTTTTGACCTAAATTTTGAAATACGCGAGTCTAAGTTTATAATTTCTTTCTCGATGCGGAGTTTTCGAGATGAAGGTTTTTCTGTCTTGTTCTATCGTGTAACGGCGGAATAGAGAATGAATAAAATGTTAATGAAATCAGTTCCTTCGGTATTAGGGTAATTGTTGACTTGCAAGGGAGGGATTTCTATTCTAACTGGGCCCTGCATATTGATTCTCGTTGGAAGTTGTTCATTATTTTATTTTATTCTAAGTGATTAAAAAATTAAGAAGAAAATCATGCGTGTTCACACGTTGAAGGGAGAACTTAATGCGTATTGTACATATTCAGGATTCCATGCCTGTGTTTTGACTTTGAATACAAATTTGTACTCTGCCGAAAGGAAAAGACAGTTTTAAACTAAAAGTCATTGTGACCTTGGATTCTTGCTTAGGAAGATAAGTTTGATGGGTTCTTTTTGAGAGGATTGGAGAATGCACGGTGGAGTTCGTGTTTTGTGGGCTCGGTCGATGACTTTACTTGGGAAAAAGGTTTTACTTTTCTTTTGTTGATGTTTGTTCTGATCGCATTAGCTCTAAATCCATGATGCTCCTGTGGGTTTCTCTTTCTTTTTTTTCTTCTTTTTTAGCATTGGTAATCATACAACTTTGCTTCATTATGATGTCTACTTATATTGAGTTCGAATTCGTTTTGCCACTGCTTGTGTTTTTCTGTGTAATTCCCCCCATTTCCCTGCTCTTCACCAGTAATGGGTTTCATTCGTGCTTAATATTCGAAGCTTTCCAGGTATTTATCGAGTTGTAGAAAGTTTTGCTGGAATGGATGGGTTTCTATATGCTAGGAGGTATTTTAGAACAAATAATTGGAAGGAAAAGAACTGGAAAATTCTATTTGGGAATTGAGTCGACTCTTCTCCTCTTCTAAACCATTCATTTCTCCTATTGCTTGAACACTTCGTGTTTATTGATTGAGTATTGAGTGTTTAATTTTCGTAATATGCTCAAATTTTGAAGTGCGTGCCATATTACTGAAACTGGTTTGTAAGAAGTTCTAATCCTCTCCCTCTCTCCCTTTTATTTGATCTGTTTTCACAGATTTTCGGTGGAATGAGCCAGCATGAGAGCAAAGGCCTGGAGGAATGAGCAAATTTTACGCCTCAAGAGTAAATTTAGCAAGATGATAAACTGTATTCGTTCAGGGGATCAATTAAAAGTGGATGAAATGATGCATTCATCAGATTCTCTGGCAACTCGAGACTATTCAGCCAGTGGTTTTTCATCACGTACTGGGGAGGTGGAACCGAAGGTGGATAATGCCAACATTGAAGAAGCTGAATCATCTCTTCGTGAGAGTGGTTATCTGAATTATGAGGTTTGTCTCTCGTCAATAATGAAACCACTGTTTTATGGAAAGAAGCAAAAAATTCACTGTGTTATAGGATTAGCTCATTGTGTCGTCTGTTGAGGACATCACCTGAAAAAAGTACTTTCATGAGGCAGATTCTTCATTTTGAGATATTAACTTACCTAAAGATAGTGTCTATGTAAGTATTTCTTCAAATTTCTTATAGATTCAATCGCCCTGTATGCAGCCATTTGACCATGTACAATTCTACTGGATATTAGAATATGATAGTCCTCAACAATTTTTTGAAATATCATGTTTGCTGTTTTTGAAAGTGAGCTACAGTACCTTTTAATTTTCTAGGAAGCACGCGCTTTACTTGGAAGGCTCGAGTACCAAAAGGGTAACATAGAAGCTGCTCTTCATGTTTTTGAAGGAATAGACATTGTTGCTGTAATTTCCAGGATAAAAGCTTCCATTTCAACGAGATATGAACAAAATAGACGGCAATCACAAAGTGATGTTGTGCCTACTATGTCTATGCATGCCATTAGTTTACTTCTTGAAGCTATTTTTCTGAAAGCAAAATCATTACAGGGTTTAGGAAGGTTTGTAGGTATTTTCTCCTCTCTCTCTCTCTCTCTCCCCCCCCCCCCCCCCCCCCCCCCCCCCCCCCCCCCCCCCCCCCCCCCCCCCCCCCCCCCCCCCCCCCCCCCCCCCCCCCCCCCCCCCCCCCCCCCCCCCCCCCCCCCCCCCCCCCCCCCCCCCCC